ACCAATGTTGGATCCTTCCTTTGGGGAGGGACTCATACTTTTTGGAAAATAGGCTTTGTTTCTAACAAATTTGTTATGTTAGAATTAGTGACACCTGAGCTATGACTAATGTCTAAAAATGGCCAATTGTGCCATCAACAAGACCTCAGAGAGCCAAGGGGGACACCCTCCAACACAGCCTCAGTCCCCGTGTCACTGATGGACAGGACCTGGGCTGAGCACCCCGTCTGGTGCTCACGTGTGAGGGTGCTCACTCCACTGTCTCATCTCTCCACCCAGCCAGACTGGTCCTCTGGAACCTCAGTTGGATCTTCCCTCACACGAGCCCCAAAGTGGACAGACGGACTTGCCCAAACCAAGGCCTCCGGCTACCTGCAGGCCCTCTGGGCCCAGTCCTGCCTCAGGGCCCCGCCCACTCCCTGCACGCCCTCTGGGCGCAGTCCTGCCTCAGGGCCCCGCCCACTCCTGCAGGCCCTCTGGGCGCAGTCCTGCCTCAGGGCCCCGCCCACTCCTGCAGGCCCTCTGGGCGCAGTCCTGCCTCAGGGCCCCGCCCACTCCCTGCACGCCCTCTGGGCACAGTCCTGCCTCAGGGCCCCGCCCACTCCCGCATGCCCTCTGGGCGCAGTCCTGCCTCAGGGCCCCGCCCACTCCCTGCACGCCCTCTGGGCGCAGTCCTGCCTCAGGGCCCCGCCCACTCCTGCAGGCCCTCTGGGCGCAGTCCTGCCTCAGGGCCCCGCCCACTCCTGCAGGCCCTCTGGGCGCAGTCCTGCCTCAGGGCCCCGCCCACTCCCTGCAGGCCCTCTGGGCGCAGTCCTGCCTCAGGGCCCGCCCACTCCCTGCAGGCCCTCTGGGCGCAGTCCTGCCTCAGGGCCCCGCCCACTCCTGCAGGCCCTCTGGGCGCAGTCCTGCCTCAGGGCCCCGCCCACTCCCTGCACGCCCTCTGGGCGCAGTCCTGCCTCAGGGCCCCGCCCACTCCCGCATGCCCTCTGGGCGCAGTCCTGCCTCAGGGCCCCGCCCACTCCCTGCAGGCCCTCTGGGCGCAGTCCTGCCTCAGGGCCCGCCCACTCCCTGCAGGCCCTCTGGGCGCAGTCCTGCCTCAGGGCCCCCGCCCACTCCTGCAGGCCCTCTGGGCGCAGTCCTGCCTCAGGGCCCCGCCCACTCCTGCAGGCCCTCTGGGCGCAGTCCTGCCTCAGGGCCCGCCCACTCCCTGCAGGCCCTCTGGGCGCAGTCCTGCCTCAGGGCCCCGCCCACTCCCTGCAGGCCCTCTGGGCGCAGTCCTGCCTCAGGGCCCCGCCCACTCCTGCAGGCCCTCTGGGCGCAGTCCTGCCTCAGGGCCCCGCCCACTCCCTGCAGGCCCTCTGGGCGCAGTCCTGCCTCAGGGCCCCGCCCACTCCTGCAGGCCCTCTGGGCGCAGTCCTGCCTCAGGGCCCCGCCCACTCCTGCAGGCCCTCTGGGCGCAGTCCTGCCTCAGGGCCCCGCCCACTCCCTGCAGGCCCTCTGGGCGCAGTCCTGCCTCAGGGCCCCGCCCACTCCCTGCAGGCCCTCTGGGCGCAGTCCTGCCTCAGGGCCCGCCCACTCCCTGCAGGCCCTCTGGGCGCAGTCCTGCCTCAGGGCCCCGCCCACTCCTGCAGGCCCTCTGGGCGCAGTCCTGCCTCAGGGCCCCGCCCACTCCCTGCACGCCCTCTGGGCGCAGTCCTGCCTCAGGGCCCCGCCCACTCCCGCATGCCCTCTGGGCGCAGTCCTGCCTCAGGGCCCCGCCCACTCCCTGCAGGCCCTCTGGGCGCAGTCCTGCCTCAGGGCCCGCCCACTCCCTGCAGGCCCTCTGGGCGCAGTCCTGCCTCAGGGCCCCGCCCACTCCTGCAGGCCCTCTGGGCGCAGTCCTGCCTCAGGGCCCGCCCACTCCCTGCAGGCCCTCTGGGCGCAGTCCTGCCTCAGGGCCCCGCCCACTCCCTGCAGGCCCTCTGGGCGCAGTCCTGCCTCAGGGCCCCGCCCACTCCCTGCAGGCCCTCTGGGCGCAGTCCTGCCTCAGGGCCCCGCCCACTCCTGCAGGCCCTCTGGGCGCAGTCCTGCCTCAGGGCCCCGCCCACTCCCGCATGCCCTCTGGGCGCAGTCCTGCCTCAGGGCCCCGCCCACTCCCGCATGCCCTCTGGGCCCAGTCCTGCCTCAGGGCCCGCCCACTCCCGCATGCCCTCTGGGCGCAGTCCTGCCTCAGGGCCCCGCCCACTCCCGCATGCCCTCTGGGCGCAGTCCTGCCCCAGGGCCCCGCCCACTCCCGCATGCCCTCTGGGCGCAGTCCTGCCCCAGGGCCCCGCCCACTCCCTGCACGCCCTCTGGGCGCAGTCCTGCCTCAGGGCCCCGCCCACTCCCTGCACGCCCTCTGGGCGCAGTCCTGCCCCAGGGCCCCGCCCACTCCCTGCAGGCCCTCTGGCGCAGTTCTGCCTCAGGGCCCCGCCCACTCCCTGCACGCCCTCTGGGCGCAGTCCTGCCTCAGGGCCCCGCCCACTCCCTGCACGCCCTCTGGGCGCAGTCCTGCCTCAGGGCCCGCCCACTGCCGCCGGCTCCCTCTGCCTCCCTGCTGTTCAGAGCCCCCCTCCGGCAGCAGGCAGAGGCAGAGGCAGAGCCAGGCACCTGGCCGCATGCCGTCCCCTGCGCTCCAGCGGCCTGTGGGGCTCCACTAGCTGCAGGCCCCACGAGGCAGGAGCTGCTCCGGCTCCCGCCTCCGCCCCGAGGCCGGGCACCTGGAAATGCTAGTTTGAAGGGGGACAGGCCAATTTAAATGATCGGCAAGCCCTGGCTGGTTTGGCTCAGCGGTTAGAGCATCGGCCTATGGTCCAGAGAGCCCCGGGTTCGGTTCCCGCTAAGGGCACGTACCTCGGTTGCAGTTTGTCCCCGACCCTGGTTGGGTCGTGTGGGTGGCAGCCACTCAATGTGTTTCTTTCACATTGATGTTTCTCTCTCTCTCTCTCTCTCCCTCCCACTCTGTCTAAAGATAATGTAAAAGCGTCTTCAGGTGAGGATAAAAAAAACAACTGACAAGTAGACAGAAGACACGTTCTTAGGACAGTGTGAACGAGGCCTGAGAGGAGCCAGCGGGGCAGAGAAACAGCGGCCGCACCCCTTGCCCACGCGGGGGCTGCGGCCTCCCTGACGGCAGCGCCAGCAGCCCCACTGTGCAGTGTGGGCTGACCTCGTGCTGTGGCCCCGTGACAGTTGTGTCGGAAATGATCCTAAGAAGATGGTGAATGTCCAAACCCCAGGAAAACTGGGCTGACAGGTGTCACCCCGAGGAAAGGTGTCTCCCGACCGCAGGGTGCCTGCTGGCGGCCACAACTGCACGCGCTTGGCCATCACTCCTGTCGCTGCAGGGCCGGCTGGGCCCTCTGCCCTGCTCTGCGGCTACTTCTTGAAACAAGGTTGTGTTTATGATCATTTCTTAAATAATCGGCATACGGTAAAGTCGAAGGAGAAGTCTTCAAATAGACACTTGAAAGAATGTTGTTTTTGAGGAAATGTTTACATGTCAGGCTCTGCTTGTCCGGGGGCGACCTGGCCCTGGGGTATCGTGAAGGGAAGGGGGCACTTGTCCACGGGAGCACCAGGGGGTACGCCTGGAGGGTCCCTGAGCGGTGCCCGGTGTCTCCCTGGCTCAGGCACCACGGGAAATAAGGTGGACACCTGCCCATGTCAGCTTCTTCCCTTCTCTGGACCATGGGCCCGCCCCGAGGGGGCCTGTACCTGCAGGACCCGAGCACAGAGGTTACCTTGACCACTAAGGATAACAACGCATGGGACTCGGGGTGCTCCCCGAGAGGACGACGCTGAAGATGGCAAACCGGCTTGTGACCAGACCTGCTGCCTCTCACAGGGCTACCATAGTGAGCTTGTTTTTTTTTCTAAATTCTCACCCAAAAATATTTCTGCATTTATCTTTAGATAGAGTGAGAGGAAGGGCGGGGGAGGGAGAGAGAAACATCAATGTGAGAACACGTTGGCAGGCCGCCTCCAGCACGACCCGACCATGGCCAGGACGAACCGCAACTGGGGTACAGGCCCTTGGCCAAAATCAAACCTGCACTCTGGTCCGCAGGCCGACACTCTAACCGCTGAGCCAAACCGGCCAGGGCCGTGAATTTCCTTTATTTATTTATTAAAAAAAATTTTTTCTATATTATTTTGAGAGAGAGAAGAAGGGAGAGGGAGAGAGAGACAGAAACGTCAATGAGCAAGAACATCGACTGGCCGCCTCCTGCGTGCCCCCCACTGGGGATCGGGCCCACAACCTGGGCATGTGCCCTGACCGGGAATCGAACCAGTGACCTCTGAGTGCAGGGTTCATACTCAACCACTGAGCCACACCGGCCAGGGCAGTGAACTGCCTTGAATGTACTGGTACTTGTTCCACGTAAGACAGACGTCAAGTGTGAGGCCCTGTGGACACGTGACTGAACAAACATGTCTGTGGATTGAAGGAACAGCTCAGGGGCTGCCTGCCGCCAGCATCACACAGAACGCAGACTGCGAGGCTGAGGAACAGTCTTTTTTTTTTTTTATCCTCACCCGAGGACATTTTTCCATTTTTTGTTCAGATAGAGCAGGAGAGAGAGAGAGGAAGAGAGAGAGAGAGAAACATCGACGTGAAGGGACACATCGAGTGGCTGCCACCCGCACGACCAACCAGGGCCGGGGACAAACCGCAACCGAAGCACGCGCCCTTAGCGGGAACCGAACCCTGGTCTCTCCGGACCGCAGGCCGACGCTCCAACCGCTGAGCCAAACCGGCCAGGGCCTGAGTAACAGTCTTTAAACTCTGTCTCAGTGCCCAAGGAGAGTGCTCACTTTGGGGTCAAACTGGGCAAAACAGACACTGAATGCAAGGGTCAGCTTTGATCAGAACCGTCCCCCACAGGCTGTTTCGGGTGAGAGCGTGCGGCCCTCCCCGGTCGTGTGGGGCAGTGACGGAGAGGCTGGTGGTAAGGGGGGAGAGGAGGCATAATACTTACAGAAATTTTCCGTTTGTCTTCGATCCTATGAGGACAATCTGCTCCGATTCGTCCCGCGAGATCTTTCCGTGGAACCAGGGCATTTTCTCGTGGGCGGTGGTGGCGATCAGCTTCTCCAGCTGAGGCTTCTGGCTGATGATGGCCTGTTCCAGCGCTTGGCCCTGCGTGCGAGGGGGCGGCCTTCAGTGCGAAGGGCACTGACGTCAGCCCCGTCCGCTCCGGATCCGCTCAGTGAGCACGGCCGGTAAGATCTCACGCATTGTTTGCGTCCCCTCCTGGTAAGGCTCGGGCAGACTTCAGGGCGCTGGGACGCACCGGCTTTCTGAACGTGTGCCCGCCTGAGAAACCAGCTGGTAGGGCCCAGGCGGCCCAGCGAGCGTCCCCACCCTCCCCGGGCCCGTCGTCTCCTGGAATGGACTGTCCTGCGTTGGACTGGCAGCGAGTGGCCGATGATGAGGCGCTAAGATGTGTGCCCTCCGGCTGCCCTGGAGGCGGGGCGGGGACAGGGTGTGCCGGGCACAGCGGACGCGGCACCGGGACAGGGGAAGCAGATGCGGGAGAGGCGCTGACCCCGGGGTGGATCGCATCCCCTGCTCGTCCTGGGAGAGGAGCACATATTCCATACCCACACAGCAGTAAATGAAGAACCAGAGTTAGATTATTTGAAGTTATAAAAAAAACCACAAGAAATGACAAATAAAAATATAACCAATGCAAACGAGGAGAAAGAAAGGAGGAGGGAAGACAGGAGGGCTGGTCAGGTGAGTGTGGGGATTCGTCCTACCTCACACATAAGACAAAACCCAGAGCAGCGAGGTGACGGGCCAGGGGCCTCAAAGCCAGGCGAGCGGAGGTCAAAGCGAGAGCTGTGGGGGATGCTCCCCAGGACAGAGAGCGCCCAGCGAATGCCAGTCTGATGGGGCCACCTGCTGTGAATTTGTTTATATGGCGTTCTGGGATGGCAGAGCCACAGGGCAGAAGTCAGGTGAGGGCTTCCGGCTGGGCTGGGGCTTGGTGGGTAACAGAGCCGTTGTTTACCTTGACTGCAATGGGGGCGACATGAATTGTTACCGATAAAGGATACATTTTATGGTGTATACATTGCAACTCAATGAACCGGATTTACCTGACTTTAAAAGGAGTCAGAGTGTGGCCTCACACACCCAGGAAATGCGAAGGGAAACGGCCGGGCACACGCTGTCACTGCACGTGTGCAAGGCTGAATTCAGGACAGCAGACACTGCGGCGTGCACAGAGAGCATGCCTGTCCCCCTCACAGCCTGTCCAGCCACAGCTCTGCACGGGTCCCCTGGGATGCAGCGGGGAGCACACACCGGGAGCAAGGGGGCGGCCGAGCACAGGCGTCTGAGCGGGAGACCGCGGGAATGCACGCGGTCACCGCGTCCGGGTCTTTGTGGGTGACAGTCGTCGGTACGCGGATTGAACACATGCGCCCTTGGCTGTGGCACAGCCGTCTGCTCCGGTCTCTCCTGCAGACACGGCCTGACAGCTGGGACGGTGGGCGCAGCGGGATGTTACGAACAGCGTTATTTGTCAACAATGCCAGACACATAAACTAGTGCACAGGAGGGACTATCAGGCAGCCAGACAGTTAGGAGACACGCATGCTGCCACAGAAGGTTCTGCGAGAGCGGTTACGGAGCTATGGAATCCAGGGCCCACCGCCTGTCTAGTGCCACCCCGGGGGTAAATACGGGACAGGGTGCCTGGCGTCTCTCTGAGAGGGCCCAGCATGAGCTGGGTGGCAGTGGTGTCCTGTGGCGGTGCCCGCATGGCTGGCCTGCAGGGCCGCCCTCTCCACTGCACCACAGAGGAGGAAAGGCTGTCTCCCGAGAGAAGCAGTTCTCGGTCCGAGCTGGTGCCTACGGTGCTATCTGAGCCAGCACTGCAGGCGCTGACGGAGGGACAGGGCGGGACTCCCGCGGTGGCTCACCTGCAGGTTCCAGGTCTGCTTCACGTACTCCCGGATGAGGTTCTCCTTCAGGTCCTCGAAGGGCCCAGTCTTGGGCTGCACGCCGGGCGGCCGGCTGAAGGGCTTCTTGAGGAGGCAGACCAGGCCATCGGACTCCCGGGAGTGGTACAGGCAGAGCTCGGCGGGGCTGGCGTGCGCCCGGCCGCCCGCGATGGCATAGGTCCCGTTCAGCTCCCGCTCGATGGTGTAGTGGTGTGCTTTGCGCCCGTGCGCCACCGACAGGGCGAAGCCGCCCAGGTAGTTGCGGCTCTGGCGCAGCAGGTAGAGCCCGTCGCTCATGCCGCCCTGGACCAGGTAATCCTCGGCCTCCTCCCGGGTGATGTTGCCGAAGAAGAAGGGCAGGTGGTCAGCCACGCCCGCAGCCATGCCTGTCTCCCCTCACGGCCAAGCGGGCACGAAGTCCACCTGGGCAAAACAAGGAGGGACATTGGTCAGCACCCGAGCAGCAGGAACGGTGGTACAGCTGCCAACTTCCGACACGGGCCCTCCCTCGGGGGACTTCCCTCCAGGGACTCGACCTACGGCCCTAACGAGCGTGCTGTCCACCCATCTGCTGGACGACCATCAGCTTTCCAGAGACACTTCCAGTGCGGAGCCTGAAAACAGCTGCATGAACACGGCCCTGAAACCTCCTTCCCCTGGGCGGGCAGAGGATTCTAAGCGACGCATCTGAAGGAGCAGTCCTACTGCACAGCAGGGCTTAGGGGCGGCCAGCGGGAACCCTCGCGAGCCCGCGCCGGCTGCTCTCTCGGACAGAGACCGCTCTCCGGAGCACGGTCGGAGCTGCGCGCGGGGACACACCCAGGCTCCGCCGTCCCGCACACTGTGGTGAGACACTAGGAGCGGAAGCGCTGGGCATGTGTCCACACCACGTGAAACTGTGACGGTGGTCACCACGACCTGTACACCTTGGCCGAGAGGGGACCTCCAGGCCTCTGCCCTGAGGCATGAAGAGGGACATCCTCTCAGGACCCCTGGCCTCAGGCTGCACATTGTCACCTCCCTGCCCTCCTCCAGAGCACTGTCAGGCACCTGCCGTGTACCATCCCATACGCAGGAGACTGCGGATTTCACATCTGATGAGGAGACACTCTTCACTAAACATACACACACACAGACACGCACGCACACACAGACACACAGACACGCACACACACACAGACACGACAGACAGAAACAGAGATACACAGACACACAGACACGCACGCACACACAGACACACAGACACGCACACACACACAGACACGACAGACAGAAACAGATACACACACAGACTCGCACGCACACACAGACACACAGACACGCACACACACACAGACACGACAGACAGAAACAGATACACACACACACAGACACGACAGACAGAAACAGAGATACACAGACACACAGACACGCACGCACACACAGACACACAGACACGCACACACACACAGACACGACAGACAGAAACAGATACACACACAGACATGCATGCACACACAGACACACAGACACGCACACACACACAGACACGACAGGACAGAAACAGATACACACACACACAGACACGACAGACAGAAACAGAGATACACAGACACGCACGCACACACAGACACACAGACACGCACACACACACAGACACGACAGACAGAAACAGAGATACACACACACACAGACACGCATGCACACACAGACACACAGACACACACACGACAGACAGAAACAGAGATACACACACACAGAGATGCACATAGATACACCTATACACACACTCACAGATATACACACACACAGACACAGAGATACACACAGACACACACAGACGCACATACACAGACACACACAGAGATATACACAGACACACACACGGATAGACACACACACACAGATACAGACAGAGATACACACAGACACACACACACACAGACACATATAAGAGATATACACACACACACAGACACACACAGTCACACTGACACACAGACACACCGACACAGGATGTGCAGTGGCCTCTTCTGAACACGAATTGCCCACAGGTCTGTAACGAGGGCACAACTGCTCAGTGAAGGTGGCGGACTTGTCTCCAGGGAGCATCGCCAAACCAGCGCCCTGACGGACCCTGAGGACACGTCAGTTGACTAGAACTTGATCGGACAATAGATAATTTTCTTGCTTCTGACCTCTGACTCTCAGTGACTGCCTCCTCTGTGCAGTCTGCAGGAGTTCACGCCTCAGCAAGCGTGTTCAGTTGGTGGGCACTTGCGTTTCGGGGTAGGAGCATGATTCGTGAGGGGGCATCTGGGGACGGGGACACGTTTTCCGGAAGCGTCTGGGCTTCCCTCCGCCTCTCCCGCTGTCCCTCAGTGGCGCTCGCCTGCAGGCCGGCGCTGTGCCCTCAGCACACCCTGCCCTGGGCCGGCAAGGGCTGCAGGCCTCCGGCGTCCTCGCAGGGGCCCCTCCGCGTGCCAGCTCTCCCGCGCCAGCGCCCGATTCCCCGTGTGTGCACCGCCTGACTCGGAAAAGGCCTCGGTGGTGCTGGCCCCTGACCGCGCCTCGGCCAGCCTCTCCGCCGCTCCTGCCCTCGTCACCCGGCGCCGCCTGGCCAGGGCCCCTCCAGACGCCGGCCCTCTCGGGCTTGTGTGGCAAACGTCTGGGGTGTGAGCTCAGTCTCTTCGTGTCCGTGACCAGTGGGCTGGACCACATCACCCAGCTGCACGGCTGGAAGCACACGGCTGCCTCCTTCCCGTCCTTTTCTCCTCCGCTTGTCTGCGCCCCAAGATTTCCTCAGCACGGGCCAGAGGGGCATCGCCTGAGACCCCCCGTGAGGTCGGCTGTCCCTGTACCCGGGACCCTTGGCATAGCTGCCACCCACCAGGAGCCCGACCAACACCATAAGCCTTCAAGAACAATATTTTGTGTTAATGCTTAATCTATAAAAATCTCAACCCGGCTACCGTTGGTTAAATGCATCGGTTTGTCACGAACAGTTCATGGGTGCTGGCCCATGCTGGGAGTCCCACACCAAGGTGAATCGACATGAGGCAGACAGGCTGTGACACGGGGCCCGTCCTCCAGGTGCGGTGGGGCACTCCGCGTGGCTCCGAGGGATGCTTTGGTCATCGCCAAGCAGGCCCCCGGCTTCCTGGGGCGGGGCGGTCTGCCTGCAGTGGGTGGTGTGGCCCCATGCTGCTGGTGTGACTTCCTGTGCTGAGGTGACGCCTGGCTGTTGGTGGCTTGGACAGCAGAGCTGGGTTACCGCAAGGACAGCTCAGGACAGGTTCTTGGGCTACTGAATTTGGGGGAGGAGTCCAGCTGGTGTGGCGCAGAGGTTGAGCATGGACCCAGGCACCAAGAGGTTGCTGGTTCTATTCCCGGTCAGGGCACATGCCCAGGTTGTGGGCTCGATCCCCAGTGAGGGGCATGCAGGAGGCGGCCCATCGATGTCTCTCTCTCTCTCAACCTAAAATCAAGAAAGGAAAAAAATTTAAAAAAGAATTTGGGGGACAATCCTCTGTTTGAGCCTTCTCAGGACTGGCACCCACCGGCGGGTCCTCCTGGTCCCCAGCCTCCTTCCATAACACAGACACGGTGATGGGATGTCGCCTCCGTCCCGGCCACTGTCCACAGGAGCTGTCCACACTGCTGCTCCCAGCCCTGTCTGCGGACAGCCGTTCTGGTTCATGACGGCACCCCGAGTGCTTCGCGCTCGCCGTGGCCGGCACGAGGACCCCGGCCAGCCGCCCGGGCTCGCCACGGGCGCCGCTGCCATCGCCTCCTCCTTGGACCCCAGGGAAGGCAAGCGAAGAGGCGCCCACAGCTGTCCCAAGCGGAGGCTCAGGTTACTGTCAGGTGAGCTCCGAGACACCGTGCGGCCTCACCTGCTCTCGGGGCCTCTATGACCGGGTCAAACGTGCGTTCCGTGACAGACGCGTGTTCCGACGCGAAGTCATGCTCTGTGATGCCCGGCACCACGGCCTCAGCCTCCCGTCCGCTCCGGGCACCTCTCCGCAGGCTGCCCTCCACCCCTCACGGCCACCCGACTCTGGGCGGGCTCCCTGGACAGCCAGCTCGGGGGGCGGGCGGGGGTGCCCTGCTCCCTGCCTGTCCCGGCCCGGGCATCCCTGCACGTGGCCGGCAGTCCAAAAGCTCTAGGACTGCGTGAAAGCCGGTGTCACCAGGAGGGTACAGACCGTCCAGTTCTGTTCTGAAAGGCTCCGTGTGCACACACGTGTGCTAACACACACACCAAGAGTGAGGAGGAGAGAAAATCCGGCTGACGTCCTGTGCCTGTCCTCTGCTCTTCCCGCTGTCTCCGGCCTCCACGTGGCCCCGCCCACGGTCACCCCTCTGGCCCTGGCTGCTGGCCGCCTGGCACTGCCCACCTCGCTGGCTGCCCCTCCCCTCCGCGGCTCCTTTCTTCTCTCCTCTCTCCCTGCTGCACACGTCTCATCCACTGAGTCACAGGCGTGTTCTACCAGGTGTGCCCACCCCACGCTGGGAGGGGTGCCCCAGGAAGCCTGAGCTCTGGGCGGGGACCCGGCTGCGCGGGGCGGTCTCCAGGGGTCTCTTACCAGCTCTCCTCTGACATAATCCCGAAGCCCGGCTTCTGTGTCCCCCGAGACCCCCTGGTGGAAGCCTCTCATGTACCCGGTGGAGGTGCCGTCCGGTCCTCCCTCCCACCGCCCCCCTTCCTGCCCACTCCTGACACGCAGGGGCGAGAGGCTGGGGCCAGATCTCATCCCTTCACAGCCCAACCCCCTGGAGCCCTGGTCCCCACATGCCTTGGCCTGAGCCCTACCCCATGCTCACCGCGCCCCTTCAGCCCTCCTTCCTGTCCTGACCCCAGCGGCCCCACTTGAACCTGCTTGGTTTCTCCTTCTCAGGCTTGTGGTCTCAGCTCACGGCAGCTCAGACAGGTGCACGCTGGGGACTGTGTCTGCCGTCGCTCATCCCACCGAGGGGTTGATCCCCCAATCGGTCAACACAGGCCTGCCCCCTGGCCCTGACGCAAGCTGGCCTCTGGACGGCTGCCCGGCACCGCCCCCTCGGGCTGCCCGGCACCGCCCCTCGGGCTGCCCGGCACCGCCCCCTCGGGCTGCCCAGGTGCTCACAGCACCTGCCAGTGGAAACACGCCCCCCCCTCTTCAGTTTCTGCGGCGAGGGCACAGACGTGTGCAGCGCGGGCTCTCACGGCGCAGCGGCTGCTCTGGCCAGTGGACAGCGCGGTGCTGGGACCAGACACGCCTGGAGATACGCCTCTGCCCGAGGCCCCCCGCCCCACTGACGCACGACCCCAGCACGACGCTCACTGCCCCCAAGGGCACCTGCTGCAGCCTGGGAGGCACATGCCTGGTAGAAAAGGCTTCCTCCAGCCTGCAACCCTCTGCCCATAGGCAGCACAGGCCTCCCAGCGCTGCACCAGCTCTCACCCTCCCCCCACTTCCTGCTGTCCCACAGCGTCCACTCTCCTGGCCACTCTGCCCCCGCAGTGCCCACGGCCCTCCCTGGGCCCACACTCAGCGGCCCAGCACCGCACCTGGCCTGAGAAAGGAAAGCCGCCCCTC